AGGTGGGTGGGTGTGAGGGTGTGGGATGGGTGAGGGCGGGGAAGGTTGAGAAGGAGTTTTGGAAAATATTTTCTTTTCTCTTGATAAGGAATTCATAAAGAAAATGTTTTCCAAAACATTTAAGCCAACCAAACATGAAAAAATTGAAAAATATTTTCTGAAAAATATTTTCCCTCGTACCAAACACACCCTCTATCTTCGGGATTGCAAGTACCCATATCTCTTCCACCTCCACCTTTCTCGTCCTTAATAACCAATCATCTATAAAATTAGGTGTTTTTTATCATAACTTTAGAGGTATTATATATCAGAAAATAAAAGGAAGTAACCGAACATTATATTAATTAACGTTGATTTCCATGTGAAAATTAAATCTCCTTAAATCCAAATCAAATGTTAAATAAACATATGTTTGATTCTTACCACTTTCCCCAAAATAAGTACTTTTGACTTGCTAATTTTAGGAATACCAAAACTGTAGTTGCATAAAGGATAACCGGGAACATTAAAGGGAAAACATAAATCACAAATGCGAGAACGGCAAATGCAATGTAAATTGCAAATTTCAAATGCGACTTAAAAGGCGTAGTTATCAAATGTGACTTATAAATTGCATTTGGCGAATACGACTTATAAATCTTAATTGTCAATTTCTAATTTATAAATCGCAAATTTCAAATGCTTATAAATCGTAATTGAAAAATTCGACTTATTAATCGCAAATACAAATCCGACTTATAAGTAGAAAGAGAGAAAGAAATAACTAAAAAGGTTATTAGAATCATCCTCTTCTATATTAGTAATAGTTATCAAAAGCGGCTTATAAATTGCGAATAGAAAATGCAACTTAGAAATATCTAATATCAATGCTAATAGGGTGTCACTAGATCTTTAGAAATCGACCGAAGCGTACCGAACCGATTATTAGGTTTCGTTCAATAAAATCAGAAATTTAATATATAAATTTATAATCGTATCGAATAATAGGTTCGGTTTTAAATTTTATAAAAATAAATCGAAAAAATATCGACCCGTACCGAATAAATTTATATATGAAACATATATTTTATATATTAAGTTTAAAACTAACAAAGCATTAAATTTTTTCCTTTGGGCCTTGAAATTATGGAAATGGCTACAAGTGACCAAGTAATTAATACCCAAAAGTAGGGGTGGCAAGTGGGCCGGGCCCGATCCTAAGTGGGCTTCGCGGACCCGGTCCTATGCGGTCCGGTCCTAAACGGTCCCGGACTTCGCGGGCTTATTACTGGAACCGGCTCGGGACCGGGACCACGAATTAAAGGTCCCGGATTAAGTGGGCCGGGCCTAAACGGGCCCAACAGAAACTTTGTATTTTTAATTTTTTTTTATTATAGAAGTTAGAGAGAAAAAATAGTAATAAAAATATATAAGCTATATTCGATTTATATACTATATATACATCTTAAAATATATATATATACTATA